CTCTCTCTCTCTCTCTCTCTGCCTTGAAAACCTCTCTCCTTTTCTCACACCTCTCCCTGCCTCTCAATTCGCAATACTATAACAATGTTTCTGCACATTTTCAACATGTATATCAACAATTCGATATGTAAAGAGAAGGTGGAAGAAAAGCAAAAACGAGTGGGAACAAATGAGTCTTTCAATGAGTGAAAAATGGATATGTTTTGAGTTCTTTAGACCTTCTCTTGCATCAATACAGAGAAGAGAGAGAGAGAGAGAGTCCATTGTTTTCGTCAAAGAAGAAGACACCTACCAAGAAAAAGAAAAGGAAAGATGGTAAATGTGTGTAAATAAATAAATGGAAAGGATAGGAGTACGAGAAGGGGCAACCTTGAAGCAATCCAAAAAAAATTAATGGAACGTTCTTCAAAGACATTTCGAAGTTACGAAATACTCCAAGCTGTTTGGCTTCTTCTCGTATCACTAGCTTTTTTTGTCTCCCAGCTTCAATCTATCTCCGTAATTAACTGACATTAATCTTTTCCTACACATATATAGTCATACAAACTTAATTAGAGAATATAATTAATTTATTGCATTCGATATTTTGAAGTTTGAAGATGGAATCCTAAGTAGAATGCTATTAGATTAAAGGGGAGATCATTAATTAAAATCCCAACTATAATTCATTTATACTAGCTAATCAAACAATTTCTCTGAACCTTTTTTGTTCCCTAATGAAATCCTTTTCCATTTCACAGACCTGTTTTGAAGTCAGAGTATCGAACACCTCATACATACCCTGACTGAGTCTCCCTTTTTGAAGAGGTCTGAGAAGTATGAAACTGCAGTTGCCTTGATTTCTGTTGGGGTGTTGTAGGTGACCCCATGATGCCTTATTTGTGTTATGTGGTTCCAACTTCTCCTCATACTAGATGCCAAATGAAAGAACTTGGTGTTCTTATCGCCTAATTTGCACCAGTTTTATCTTGATTTTTGCCTCCAAATGGCCTCTGCACATTTACTAACTTCCCAATATTCAGAATATAGTCTATGCAATTCTGTGAGCTCTTGTTGCGTGAGTTTTCTGTTCTCCCCTGCCCTTTCTAGTTGAGCAATTGCTTATTGAAGCTATATCATTCTTGTATCCTGGTTTCTAAATTCAGTCTTGTTCCACAGTCAAAATCTGGAGACCAAACAACTAATCTTCCTGGCCACTCTTAATCTGCATGGATGTTTGTTTCAACGGTCATCCCATAATTCTTGAAGAATCTTTATAAATTATGGTTGATCAGCCCAACAGTTTAGAAAGCAGAATGACTTCCACCCCCAATTCTTGTAATGTAATCCTAGAAGCATCTGACGGTGATCCGACAAGCCCCTGGGGTAAAGTAATAAAGCTAAGTATGGGAATTGTACATGACACTCTACAAGATTGCAGTGAGAAATAAAAGAATGAAAATCCTTTTGAGCCAACCGCGTTCAAGCAAGCACTACTTCTATCGCAGTGAGAAATAAAAGAATGAAAATCCTTTGAGCCAACCGCGTTCAAGTAAGCACTACTATCACCACCGTGCAAAATTTCATAGAAATCCCCTACGATAAACAGAGGAATTGCAATGGCAACTTGTAAAATAATAATCTCCCCCCATAAAACGCGCCTCTCAGCAACTTAACACCCTACATATACACCAATAATTGCACAGGAAAAATTTGTTTTGACATGACTACCAAAAATTGCATTCCATTGCCCACTGCACTCTATATTGTCAACCTTAAAGTTTTCCTCATTCCATATTACCAGAATCCCACCAGCATTATTAACAGAGTCCACCGAGTGCCACTTTACATTAGGATCATTCCATGTTGCATAAACTAAACTAGGTGTATATATTCTCCGCTTAGCTCCTAAAAGGACGCAAATATCAATGTTGTGGTGCAAAATCATCTTTCTAACAGCCAACCTCTTGGCAGACATGCCTAATCCACAACTATTCCAAAAGAAAATTTGCATAAATAAGGAGATTTAATACTTACCCAGGTAAAGGTAGACCTGCAACTTCTGATTCGCAGCCCAATCACCATGCTCCCTATCCAATTGCTTTGTAATGTCAGCAGGTAGAACTGCCAGATTGTCTGTATTTTGAAAGCCTAGAACCTTGGACTTCATCATTTAACATCTCTTGGACTTCATCATCATTCACAATTTGTTCGTCGTCATGCACGTCACGAAGGTGAGTGTAACGAGCGTTGCCTTGTTTGATTCCAGAGTCAAACGAGATTAAACCATCCTCTACCGTGTCTACCATAGCTTGCTTAAAGCTGTCCGTTGACAAAAAGACTTTAACCTTCCTCTTCCTTCTCTGTGAGATCATAGGATGTAATGAAGGCTGGTTGCTTGTGGTGACGACTGCTCTATAGAGCTGACCCTTTCATAAGCGAGGACTGTCAAGAGGCATGAATTCATGAACCGGGCTGTGATGTGATTTGTTGGGCCGTTCTCTCAAGATGGGCCCTTTTTCCTTTCCTGTCGGGGCTTCAAATCCCACACGCTGCTTTTGGGTAAAAGTTTTCGTTGTGTTGGACTCTCGTGGTCGTAAATCGACTGTGCAATATTTTCAGAAGCAGAATTGCAATATTTTCAGAAGCAGAATTTTAACAGCAACATCTGGAGCAGCTGTTCTATTGAGTTTCAAATCTCGGTTGTCATGTGAACAACTAAACACAGCCAAATTTGCCAAATCCCCGCATTTTACAGTTGCATCCTTCTCATCTTTTGCAGCATCAGAAGTGTTCGCAGTACTACTCTCAGTCTCTCTATCATCTTCCTGATGCATCAGATCAAAAGCTGCCAAATTGTATTTGTCATACCGCCGCCGTCGTTGTCGTTGTCGCCGCCGCAGGGGCCTCGTGATGATTCTTTTCAAGTGATGTTCTGAAATTGTCTTTGGCTTATTAAAGGTTAAAAATTATAAAATTACATAAAAGGAAGATATTAATATTTTTAGTATGTTTTATTTTTTAAAATAATTTGTATTATTTTATTTATTTATTATAGTTTGGTAATATTTTTATTTTTGTTGATATACTACGACAAGTTTGTTATGATAAATAAACTCTAATTTTCTACACTAAAAACTTGGTTTAAAATGTTTAAATGTCTTCAATTATCATTAAAGTTCTTTTAGGATGAAACTTTAAAATTTTTGTTATCAACGATCATTCCAAATAATATTTCAAATAAAGTTTTTTGTAGTTTTCTTTTATCCTTATATTATATTATATTATATGAGTAAATAAGTTGTATTATTTTTAATAATATTTTTTATATTAATTTCATAAATGTTTTTTTATCCTTTTATAAAAGTAAGAAATTATTATCCCTAATAATATTTTAGATATTAATTCCTTTTAGGTTTTTTCATCCTTAAATTAAAAGTGAATAATATTTTCTTGCCAATAATGTTTTTTTGATATTTTTGAAATATAGGTAAAAATCCTTTGGAATTTTACAAACTTGTTGTAAAATCCATGCAATATAATTTTTTTTTAGAACATGCCAAAGTATTTTAGGTTTTCTTTTAAAAAAATGCTCTAATAATTTTATGGATTTTTGGCCATATGCCAAAAAAAATACTTTTTTATTATTTTTTATGCTTTGTTTAGCAAAAATCTATTTTTTTATAATAAAAATGTCAAAATAGACCCGAGGATGTGTTTATTAAACACATCCTTAAATAAATAAATAGATAACCCTTTAACAAAAACAATCAATCTTTGATAAAAACCCACTAAGAAAGCTTGAAGTGTGAACACATGAAAAAACAAAATTAGTAGTTTTATAAATTGGATATCACAGTTATCGATGACTAAGTTATTTACTTTTGAGGATTTGTCGGAGCAACTTTAATGTCATGGTTATTAAAGACTACCTAAAGTTGATAAAGATGATGCATACCTTTCATTTGAATCCAACCTTACTCGATTTGGAGTCATATAGCTTCACTTTCATTTACTTGAAGGTGTTAACTTAATTGGTCCATAATATGTCAATATAGTGATGGTCAATTAAGGACAAGATATGGTTGAGTTCAGTGAAAAAACTGAGATGTAAACGATTAATGAAAGTAATTGATCTTTAAAAATGAGATGTTTTTTAGTTAAATGATGATGATTATAGCTCTAAAGATGATCGAAAACACCATATTCATTCACGTAAAGGTGCTTAATCGATTAACTGAAGAAGAAGCTAAATTGTGGTTGAATGATGCGTCGTCTAGATTAAATTCTAAAATTAGAGTTTTTTAATTTGAAATTTGATAAACTTCAATTTAGTCTATGTTTTTCCACTTGCTTTTAATTGCACCAATAATTACCTCAAAACTTTTAATTTCATGAAATTCCAGCCCTGTCAAACTTAATTGCATCCCCAAAGTTGACATCTTGTTTGATTTTAGTCCTTTGTTATAAAATTGTATTTTAACCTTTGTTTATCAAGAAACTTTTAATTTCTTTAATTTAGCCCCTAATTTAATTAATTTCAACTATTGTATTCCTGCAACTTTTTGGTTTGGTAATTGATCTTGAATTTCTTTAATTAAATCTTTAATTAATTATTAAAATTTAATATTTATACAATTAAATCTCTGATTTGATCAAATTAACTCAATAAAATTGTAATTCAACCTCTAAATTTTAATTTTTTCCAATTAAAGTCTAAATTTAAATAGCTTCGTGCCACCTAAAAGATTAATATGACCAAGATTGTTGCATCCAAACGAATCTTGTCAAAAACATAGCCTTATTATATTTATTTTTCATTGAAAAAATATTAAATAGATATTTTTTTATGTTTTGTTTTAATGTCATGATATAAAAAATTTAAGAATAAATCTGGAAAATACATATATTTTTAATTAAAAAATATTTTCCATTACCAACCATAAACTTTCTTATATATCATCATTTCATAAAGTGAAGGTGTGTGTGATATATATAACGATATCATATCTTATAACATCATCACAATTAATATGCCCCAGATGTCTTCGTTCAGTAGTGAAGCAGCGAGGTTTATTGCTTGTAAGTTACGTGGTAGGGCCGAGAAGTTTATAATTGATTTAATTTCATAAATTTATCGTGCCCATGATGGCAACTACTGAATTTAAATAATAAATGCCTCGCAAATAATTTTGGTGAAAGTAATAAATTAGACAGTAGTTGTCCTACTACATTGCATAATGTCCTAACTAATACACAAATACTTTCCTAAGGAACGTGAAAATTCTACCTGTTGATGCTTACATTGTTGTCCAATTATTGTGTCCAGCAAATTAATTTTCATGCATTTAATTAACACAAACTTTAGAATTCTCCACTACTTTAAACCCATGACCAGGACAAAAGGCCTCTTTGAAACCACAAACCTTCATGTCAATAATAATAATAATAATAATAATAATAATAATAATAATAATAATTAGGAATGATCACTGCCATCATGGTATATAACTATTACCTTCCAATTAATTTTTAATTCATTGATAATATCAACATTTTGTTTTTTTTATTCACAT